CTTAGTACAGGAACAGGAAGACTCAAAGCCAAAGGGGTGGAGACACGTCCCTGTAGTAAACACTCCTAGTGTAGAGGACAGCAGCTCAGTGCTCCACCCAGCATGGGTTTGACCTTTGTGCAGGTGAGACTCACTGCTAACATATGCACGTACTGTCATGAGGAAACTGAGAACAACAATGAGAGAGAGAGGGACATGAAGAAGAGTAGGAGGAAAAGAAGAGAGAGGAAACTAAAGGACAAAGAGTCCTGGAGGGAGAACAGACAGGTGGAAGCAGTCTGGCCATTCTCAGAACTCTCTAATTAAAACTACCCTTCACATAGACACACACACCCCCTCCTAAATGAGGACACATAGACATTTACAGTTTTTTATGTACTGGAAATTGTAATTTATTACAGACAACCCCTAATCAATGTACAGCCAAGTAAACTTACATACATTTTCACTACACAGCTATCTAAATGAGAACACTCCATAGACTTCTATTGTTTTTATTTGCAGCTAGTTATAAATACTACTATATACTCACTTCAACCCTTTTTATTACCAACTCAAACCTGGAGGAAAGTTTATCATCAAACAAACTCAGATACATTTAGCATGAGTAGCATCATAAACTTATTGCTTAATCCAATTCAGAGAGATAGTTCACATAAAAAAGAAAATTGTCAACAATTACTGACCCTCACGTTGTTGAAAACCTTTAAAATATTTCTTCTGTGGGACACAAAATGATTTTTTTTAAATCTTACCGATTTTTCTTTTTAAATTTCACTGAATGATTGAGGCTTTCAATATTGAAAAAGGGCACAAAAGGCAATATCATAAAAGTATAGAGAAAAATAGTTTTGAGCAAGAAAGTGATTAATTAATGATTTAATTATTTTCATGTTTAAATGGGAACTATTCTTTTAGATTGGAGGATAGTGGGACATACACTGATTCCAACTTGTTAATGTTAATGGCAACTCCCACTAGGCAGTAAACATAAAAGTCTGCAGTACACATTCTCTAGTACAGAAGGACATTAGGAGTACTGTAGAACATATATGTTCATACCATTCAGTGTCACTAACCAATGCTTTAACACACAAAATACATGAATACCTCAGGACAAGCACTAACAGGTAACAATACCTACCATTAATGGGTGGACACAGTAGCAGAGATTCGAGGAATTAGCATTTTTAACATGTTCTTTCTTGTGAGATCCAGTGAAGTGTTATGCTCAGACAAAAGGAAGTAATGCAGGAAGTCTCAAAGTTTTCAAAATCCAGTGTCTAAATCAGAGAACGTCTTCAGAGAACCTTAGTCAGTATGTGACTCAGATCGTGAACAACATCCGCCGTTTTACTCAACATTCCATGGTGGGCTAACACTCAAAAACCACCCAAGCACCCAAGCACCCAAAACCCCCACACACTTGCTCAGTCTACACCTCATCTAGCCACATGAGTCATAGTGGAGACCACAGAGCACAACATTTTCCCCCAGTGCCCAGTCATTCAGAGTCTTTGCTATTCATGTCAAACCAGTGCAGGTCTTTAAAAACAATGTAAAAGCCAACAGTGGCGATTTCTATATCCCCACCTCTGGTGCTTCTGTGGGTTATAAAATGTGTGTATATATACACACACACAATTATAATTATATAGCTCTCACCGTCTAGCTAAAAATGATCATTATTGTCCAAATGTTCTCAGCAGTTAGGCTAATTGTCCCACTCTCAATTCTCAAAATGGTTTCCTGTTTTGGTTATATTCAGAAAATATGCAAGAATACGCCTGCTTAAAGCACTGTGAATAAGAAAAAAGAAAAGAAAAAAAATGTGTAAAAACAAGTATAACTTTGATAGTACCAGGGTTGGGAGGCAAAAACCTTCCATTTTCTTTTCCAATTATACTTAGGTTCATGAGGTTTCTCACAAGTGCATTTCATCCCACTGATGCATATGTAACACTGTACTAAAATATAATATAAAATAGTCTGATTATTAGATTGCATTTAAGGTGTTACTTCTGTAAGAACAGTTTTACTAGTTTTAAGTTAATTTATTTTTAATAATAATTTACTTATGAACAGAACATTCTCTTTTTCAAAAGCACCAAAAGGAGTGTTAATAGAACCATTAAGCCACAGGAATCATTAAGAGGAACCAGAACCGGAACCGGAACCAGAATAATGAATTTCCTTTACGGTTCCCATCCTCTGGGATACTGACTTTCAACACTACCCTGGGTCGAGACTAGAGCCCGACCGATATGGGTTTTTTGGGGCCGATACCGATATTTGGGAGTAAAACGAATATCGATATATCAGCCAATATTCTTGGTGTATATTATAGTACCCGCACTTTAATGCCCTTTGAATGCAACATGTACGTTCCCTTGGAACTGGAATCATGGCGGAATATCATGTGAAGTCCACTTCGCGGGGCACTTATGGTCGAATAAGACGATGCTTGAATGCTGCTGCCTGAACAAGAGACCTCCTTTACTGAAGTGAAAGTGTTGACTGGTGTCACTATCTCGCGAACGCGCCGGCGGACCTCCACCAAATTCGGGGGATCCCTTCAGCTCGAGGAGCCCTCTCGAACGCCGTTCAAAATTTCAGTGGTTTTCCATAGACTTAAGGTTTAAAGCATTTCATCCAGGTCGCCAGTAGCAAACAATGGAGCGCGCTCTGCTGGACAAACTAAGTAATTACACCATGTAAAAAAAAAAAGTTTATATCGGCGGTGTATTTGCCGATACCAATACATCACCGACAGGCTCATATCGGCCGATAATATCGGCTAAACGATATATCGGTCGGGCTCTAGTCGAGACAGTGCTAGAGAGCTTCTCACACAAATTAGCAGCATTTCCACTTATCAATACTGCAGAGGACTATGTTTATGCTCATGTGATTACAGGAAGGCAACATCTAGGAAAGCAGAGTGTTTGTAAGCCATTAAATACTAGCAATCACAAAAAAAAAAACTCAGCAAATGTAAAAACATAGGCCTACACGAAATCACAAAAACATATACTGAGAGAACAGAATGCCTACTCTACAAAAATATTTGTGATATTTGTGGGAATAGAGAAACAGAAGAGCGTTAAAGATGCAATTATTATAGGCAGTTTAGGCACAATTCATTTCATTCTGCAGCCCTAATATGCAAGCAGACGGCTGATTGTGATTTTAATGGGTCTCACCACCAACAGATCATTAGACTCTGATAGCACTCGACCTCAGAGCCAGAAGAGACAGCCCCCTCATCATCAGCTGAGCACCAGCAAGCCTTTATTAGCTCCACAGTGAATCACCACATTTCCATTGCAGTTGTCAAGCGCCCAGCAAACTACTTTGTTTGAACATCCTAAAAGCCAAAGGGAGGCAT